CCTTTTTTTCACATTCATTTTAATTATTTTTATTTTTTTAATTATCTTTTTTTTACCTTCTTCTTCGGCCGGTCGCCGGCCATGGTGAAGGCCAGCGACCGGCCACAGGCGAGCTCAAGTGTCACCAAAGGGCGGCGAGGCTCGGGCCTCGCCAAATCGGCGACGCTCCAGCATTGCAAAGGGCGGCGAGGCTCTAAAGGGCGACGAGGCTCGGGCCTCACCACTTGCGAGGTCGCTCGCCAACCTCTAGCAAGGCCTCGAGCGTTGCCAATTTGGTGAGGCCCGAGCTCACTGCCCTTTGGCAACTCTCGAGCGTCGCCGATCTAATGAGCTCGGGCCTCACCACCCTCTACGACACTTGAGCGTCGTTGATCCGGCGAGGCCCGAGCCTCGCCGCCCTCTGGCGACGCTCGAGCTTGCTTGTGACCAGTCGTCGGCCTTCGTCGTGATCGGCGACAGGCCGGAGCAGAAGGTAAAAAAAAGAAAGCAAAAAATTAATTAAAAATCGATTTTTAAAAAAATAAAAATATATTAAAAGTAGTGTATTGATTGATTTTCTTCACCGAAGGACAGAAAATATTTTCCGGGTCTTTTTCATATTTCAGTCTAACTTAAGAAAATATTATCATTTTCTTGCAAAATGGCTTGCTTTAATAATTTATGCAAAATGAAGGGAGCCTCGGTCTCTCGCGGTCCCGCACTCCAGTTCGCGTTCTCAACGACGAGTTGGCGGACCATTACTTGATTGCAGCAAGTGGGCTTCTGTCCCCCATCATTGCCGGCATCGATCTCCATAAGTTCGACCCTTTGGACCTTCCAGGTGTCATACTTTTGACACGCTCCCTCCCTTCACTCTGCTTCTCGAGGCTCTCTCTGTTCGACGTTTCTGTTTCCGTTTCTGCCTGCGTTCAGTTTTGGGAATTCATCCCATCCTGGGTAAATGGCCGGCGAGTTTTGTCACTCTTTAGGGTGATTTTGTTGTTAGAAATCCTTTCATTATTTGGAATTGATACTGCAAGAAGAAATGTATTTTGGGAGGTGGAATGTTCGACGGTCTGTTGACCGAGTCCCTTGATTTTAGCTGATTAAGATTTGCATTCATTAATACGAACAGAACCCAAAAAAAAAAAAACAAAAACCTGCCGTTCCGGGTTAACCGGCCCAGAACCAGCCCGTCTGGGCCGGTCCGATTCCAGAGTCGGTCGGTTTCAGGATCCACAAACTTGGACTAAATTCTCTCAGTATCAACTCCGATGGACGCCCAGACATTGAATCCAACGTCAACGAATTCTCGATTTCCGCTCCATTATGAGCTCGCGCAACCGGAGAATGCTGTAAGAATAAATCCCTCCGACTTTTTGTGATCTTACTTTGGTTTCTTCTATTTTTACATCATGCTTTCATTTTAGCTGATTGCAATCACACTGGATGAGACGTATTGAAATTGGTTGCATTACTGATATTAGAAACACTTTTTAGTGTTGTGCGAGTTTCACAGCTCGATTTAGTTGAGGGAAAGAAGCGAGATATACTTTTTCTAACCTCCAAGGCCTTTTTTGAGCTAGAATGTGGCTTTCCACATCGCAGTGAAAGTATTGGATTCCTTAGTTTCAGGTCACAAGCAAAGTTTTGATTCGAGGTGGTGATCGGTAGTTGAAAGTGCCTGCACAATTGTAGAGTACTGTATTTTATGTACTTGCATTTGACCACGAAACATGGGGGTGATAAATTGTTAGGCTCGTAATCTCTTGGTCTGACCAAGTTGAAGTGTTTGTTTTATACTCAATAATGATAGGTGCTCGATTTTGGTTGTTCCAGTTTCTGATGCATGTTAATTTAATTTCACTTCTTTCTTGTTTTAAGTCCCCTAGACAAACCTTGTGTTGGGTGGATGTTGTCAATCTGTTGAATGGCACTACTTGGGTAGATGTTATCAGCGCGTTGATTGTAGTTGATGCAATTCGTGCATGTGGATAAATATGTTGAACTGATTCCTGAAGTCCTTTTGTTGACACTCAACAAAGCAGCTATATTTGGGCGGAGGCTCCAAGACTTCGATGTTTGTCAACATCAGTCCTGAGCCTTGGCAAGTCGCTTTCTTCTTCGGATTGCTGCCAGAGTAAATGCTGGCGAAATTGGCATCTCCGCATCCAAATATCCAAGCCTCCTCAATCGACGTATGGCAGACAAACCCACGTGTTCTTGATCGAGGTAGGCCGCCAAGCGCTTGGAGTATGGCCGCCAAACACCCATGCGTCCTGTAAATGGGTGATTTTGGCTTGGGAATGGTTGAAATTCAGGACAATTTATTTGAGCACAGACGGTTTTGACCATTAGAGTCGAGTTTAGTTAGAGACGTTAATGTTGCTCCACATTACAATAATGGAGGCTATGTAAAATGTGAGTATGTGGTTTCTAGGCATGCGCAAGCTTCTGTGGGTTCAATTGCCTTTATAAAGATGCGTAGTGTCATGATGTGGGAAAGGCGAAGGTTGTTGAATGCTAGCATTGAGCTCTTTCCTTTCAATTTCTTTTTGTTCTGTGCATAGTTTTGGTTTCTGGTAGTGTACATTTTTCATTTGCCTCGGCAACTCTTTATCTCTCTTCTTCCTCTTCTGCGAAGAATGTACTTGAAATTAGCATTGTGCAGAGGGTATTTACAATTACTGATCTCGTATCTGTCAATAATTGGCAATCCATTGCTCGTTTATTGATGTCTGACACTTAATACCGTTGGCGTTGGGTGAGATCATCAGCACATTTGAGAAGATGGGTTTCTTTTGAAAAGGTAATGGCTGGTATGAGTATTATAATCTCCTCTCTTCATCTTCCTTTACGAGCTCAATCTAAATGCTCAAAGGCTGCGTAATGAACTTTAGAAATGAAGCTGATTAGTGTGCAGAGCCCACTCCCCAAAACCATTCTCCGACGGCTTGTCCTGAAGTCATTATGGTATGGGAAGGTAACAAATGTTGTTGCCAACAGGTTGGAAGATTATAGGAGCTACTGATCCGTCGGCCTCGGACTCCGGTGTCTCGGGCAAAATATGATGAACGTCCGCCGGGGTGCTCACCTACCTTAGCCATTCATTTCTAAAGCTGGTACATGAGAAAGAAAAGACATTACTCCAAGGTATTTCGAATGAACTCAAATCTAAAACATGAGAAGATCTTAGACCGAAGCTGAGTTCTGTATCCACCCCACTTAAAAGCCCATCGGGACACACGTTCTGAAGCCACGCTCAAAACAGCCCGGTATCAAAACCAAACTGCTCCAATACGATGTTTGTCTACTGTCTCCACAGTACATGACTAGGGGCATGTATCGGTCAATCTCAAACCTATGTTGTACAAAAACTTCAGTGCTGAAGGTGAACTAACTACTTTTGAGCTGGTAATGGTCTCACCATCGGGGAAGAAAGTAAATGCCCTGCTCTATTCGATCACAGATTACGAAAGTCGATGACCATTCGTGAACTATATTTTGGAATTTTAAATGTTGACTGCGAAAATATGGGAGCCGAGATGGACGTGGCTCGATTGGGATTGGGCATAGTCCAAGTTCATTGATCACGGTATCGGCCTTATTTAACTATTAAATCATGTAATCTAAGGCTGGGGCGTCGGCATAGCACTTACTTCAGGGAAAATTGTTTAAAATATCTTAAACCTATTGTACTTTTACTAATTCAGTTCTAAACATTTTAATTTTGTAAATTGAATTCTAAACCTTTTTCACATTTTGCCAATTGAGTCCATACAGCCAATTTTGCTTGGAAATCGCTGACATAGATGTCGACCGTCCTAAGTGACACGGCCGATACTAGCGTTGATATTTTTTAATAATATTTTAATATTTTTTAGAATTTTTTTTTTATAATCTTCTTCCTTTTGCCCCGGCCACAGGCAATGGCCAGGCGAGCTGGCCTCGCCTTGCATGAACGAGGGCGAGCGCCGACGAGGGCTCCCCTCACCAGATCTAACTTAAAAATCACGTGACGGAACCTTGATGGATAGTAAATGTGTTGCATTGGTACAAATTTGAGGTTTTTTATATCATAAAAAAAAGTTTAGGGTGAATGTATGACGGTGTGCATAACTTGGAGTTTTTGATGTCACAAAAAAAATTTAGGATAAATGTGTCACAGTGTGTATAATGTGAGATTTTTTGTGGCATTTTCCCTTAAAATTAATTCGAATAATGAGTTTATTTTATGCAAAACAATCCAAATCAACAAAATTGAAGTTGAGAATTCAAGTAACCAAAATCCTCGAGCTTTAAAACTCAAACTGTCATTCAATCAATGAGGAGGTAAGAGTGATCTCTATGTGATTGTATGCACCTATGATTTATTAATTAAAGTTTCGATTATAAAAATATTAAAGAAAAAATAAAATATTAAAACTTAGGGTGCGTTAGTTTGAGAGAATTCGTTTTTCAGACTTTCACTCGTTTAGTTCGCCGAAAATGATAAGTCAATAAAAAATACTTTTCAGTCAAGGAAAACATTCATGTATAAAATTAAGAAAGTGAATTCCCTAATCTAAGAAGGTAAAAACACTTTACGAAATTTTTTATCTTGAATATGTTGATATTTTATATTTTCTTTTCTTTTCTTTCTTTTATTTTTCCTTTCCCGATGAAAACACAGCAAGTCAATTACTGGATATGAGGTTAAATGGCGCGACGTAAGGTATTACTTTAAAAACTCACGGTTTTCCCTCGATTTTGCATGAAATTTATATTTCATTTTCAATTGATCTTCGTAATCGGGTCATACAATCAATGATACAAAAAAATTCCTAATGATATTTTCATGTGATTATAATCGAAATAGTACGAGATATTTGATACGGGGTAGGAAATTCTGGTGAGCGACACGTAATTACTAGGACCTGATTATAAATATTTCAAAACATTCGGGCTTAACGGTAAATCTTCGAAATTTTTTTTAGACTTTTGGGCGAGTTTCAGAACTTGTAATTATGTCTTCCTTATAAAGAAAAACCGCCTCGCTTCTCCCTCTCGTCAGTCTCACATCCGCCGCGCCGCTCCGCTCCGCTTCCGGACCCGCCGCCGCGCCGACTCGCCACCGCGCCTTCGTGAACTCAAGGTCCATCTCTCTCTCTCTCTCTCCACCTCGCCGTCGACTACGGCTGTCGCTGCAGCTCGAGGATTGTGTGCGTGTCTCTTTCTCTCTGTGTTGTTCAGTTGTAGTTGCATTTGTTTTTCACGTTAGTCTTTTCCCTCTGAAAGCTTTGATGATTTGATCATCGATGCGTCGGGGGCGGACCGGGCGGCGCGCCGCGGGGCACCGCCTTACGCCGCGGAGACGCACGGGGTGCCCTGTCTTGCGTCGGGCACGGGGCAATGGCGGGGCGGCGGTTCGCCCCACGGGACGGGGCCGGGGCCGGGGAACGCGATACCCGGCCCGCGCCCCCGCCCCGTGCGCATCTCTACCTGGCTTCCCTATTTGAGCATGCTCCGGTGCGATTTCTTCGCAATTAATTGCTACATTGTTGAGTGGCCCAACTGCTGTTGGCTATAGGAGGTTGTAGTGTGTCTGAAGTTGAGTTAACAATGGTTTTCGGATAGATATCTCACATCTTATTTCTTCAGTATAAATAAGATGTGAGATATCATTTGTTTTTAGCATTGTTGAATTTTCACATCAATTGGAAGTTCAAATCCTAAACTATTTGACAGGGACTGAGTAACAGTTCTCTGGTTATTCTGTGGGCAGTGATGGGCTCTGATGGAAGTAAAAGATCAGTGGCTCCTCGAACTCTCAGTGTCAGAAAGTTTGCGGAATCTAGAGCTGCTGAAGTTGAGAATCTACACTCCATCGTAGCCAACAGATTGAGCAATAATTTTCGCTCTCGAAGGGATAAGAGGAGGAGAACCACTGCCCATGACAACCAACTGGCCAATAGAAGGCATAGGAAGAGGCGAAAGGATTCACCGGTGGCTGGTGCTGATCGCAATCCTGCAGCTCCAGGCAAAGTTCCTCGACGAGTGCGGCGCAGAAATGAGCTGAAACAAAATCCCGAGAGTGGTTTCTGTACATCTGGGGATGGAACTAGGAGACTTAGAACTCATGTTTGGCATGCGAAGCGGTTTACTATGACCAAGTTGTGGGGATTTTACCTTCCTCTCGGTTTGCACGGCAGGTAATCGAGCTGTCTTTTTCAACACTGTAATCATGACTTGATTCATTTTTTAACGGATTAGAGCAATTGACAGGGTTTGTTAAGCTTGGTGTATTTTTCTCCCCCAAGGGGTTCTCTCTACAGAAACTTGTCTTTTGCCCGCTTCTTAAGCTGGTTTATTTTTGGATGTGACTGGAATTTAAATTCATGGAAAGACATATGCATCGAGACTTTTCAATAAATATATTTTTATTTTTCTGCGTTGTAGAGGGAGGGGTTCAAGAGCTCTTTTGAAGTGGTATAAGCAAGGAGTAGTCATCCATGATGCTAGTTACCATTTTGCTGTCCAGTTCGAGGGTCCAGAGGTATCATCTTTTGTCTTTGAACCTGCATAATTTGTGTCATTATGTAAATGTGAGCAAATTTCTTGTTTATATTGTTACTTTTGTTAACTGATTTATATATGCCATATAAGAAAGAACTTTTTGCATTGAAGCTCAGCGGCTTAAGCAAACTGTTTATCATTTTATCTCCTCTTTTGTTCAGTAATATCTGAATTAAACTATTAATTACTTTCTATGGTTGCAGGATTCTTTGATTTCGGTGTTAGATAGAGTACTAGTTCCTTCTCCATCTGCTCATCCAATGGACATGTCTCATTCAATTCTTTCTGGTGTTACATATGGAAGGGCTTTGGTAAATAAATTCAATGGAATTCAAGGTACACGAACAATGAATTTGGATCCAACAGTCGTAACTTCTTAACTCTTGTCTTGCAGCTTCATCATGTTGGAACACCTCTTTCCAAGCCAATTGCTCCGGTTATGTATATGTGGAGACATTTGGACCAGCATAATACTGAAAAAGTTCAGCAGGATTGCGCTAATGGGGAAGGTGTACCTGAAAATATTGATGACTCTGTTCCATTTCGTCAGCTATGGGTCTGGATACATGTGTCAGCCTTTACTGAGGGATATGCTGCTCTAAAGTGTGCATGTCAAAAGGAGGTATCACTTTCTTATAGTTCCTTCACTCAATTTATTAATGAAGTACATTAGGACTATGACACTAGTGGTAGCAAAATTGTATATCCACTTTTCCAAGAGTCAAAGTCAAGCTTATAGGTCGTAGCAGGTTTCTGTCTCCAATTATTGCCGTGATTATTGAAATTTCTACCTTCCTTCTACCGAAAGAAAAGAAGGATATAAAACGAAAAAAGTTTAAGAAAATCACACCACTTTCGGCTTTATATTTAGAGTGTTGCCCTAACTGCTTAATCCACTTGACTGGACTTCCTGCTCATTCTGTTAAATCTAAAATTTCAAAATCGATCATTAAATCACTAAAATATTGGGCTCTTAGCAATTAATAGTGGCTGGTATAGCAGTGATTCTTTACATCTTCATCATTTCCTTTCTTTCAAATCAGATGGATGAAGTGGGTAGTTTGATCCGTTGCTCTTCGCTTGAGGGTCATCTGGCAAAGTTGGAGATTATGGGATCAGGTGCTTTTAAGCTTCTTCAGAAGATTTTACATCCGATAAAACAGTGAGTTATCAAAGACCATGTTAATTCCAATTTTTCCTAGTTATTTATTTGAAGTTGGCTAAATGGTTCTGCTTGGTTGTGCAGCGCTGTAGAAAGACCTTTTCAGTTGAAGAAGCATTCTTCTGTCGAGGCTAGTATGGACGAAAAGAAGATGGAATGTGACTTGCTTCACAATGAGGACGGTTTTCCTTCTCATGCGATTTTCTCTCTTATGGTCAAGGACCCTCGGGAATACATGGATGAAGAAAATTTTAATGATTCAAAAATGATAGCTCTTAGTACAGTTGATGAGGTTTTATCACATGTAACTGAAAAGCAGCCATCTATAACACAACCTGTGGACAAGGGAGGAGGTTTACTCCTATTGTCACAGGCACATCATGGTCTGTGGGATGCTGCTTCAGGACTAAGAACCCCAATTGAAGAGAATGTTCTTCACACGGAGAGGCACAAGAAGCGTATGGATTTCTTGTGCTTGGATAATTTTAATTCAGGGATGTCAAATTCTTTAGATAGTTTGCAGTCTTCAAGATCCTGCCCTATAATGCTTCTAAGAAATGGGAGCGCAGATGACCGTCTCAAAGGGTAATTAAATCTATTTCTTGATGCCATGATAAATTTATGGCTTGTTGCTCCATAAGACATCTCGATATAGGGGATGCTTAGCTGCAGAGATTCTTTACTCGAAGGCTTGCTATAGGATTTTCTTTTGTTTTATTTTCTTATTTCTTCTTTGAGGAATCTGGACATCTTTTTCTCTCTTGAAAGTACGCCACGCCTAGCTGGGCAGCTGTAATGTAAAGATGCAGGAGGAAGGAAGATTTTATACATTTTTATTCATCATCAGAGAGATTTTCTTGGAGAATTTATTTAATCTTTTAGTCTGAATTGGAAAAGATTTTGACCTTGTGCTTGGCTTTTCTGATAATCTACCAATGAAATAAATTAGTAATAATAGGTGCTGGAGCTGCTCTGTAGCTGTTTGTCATTTGCAACCTATTAGTCTTCTTTATTTTTTTTCTTGTATCTGCAGCAGTAATGGTTATTTATGTTCACTTCTGATTATGGCTTTGAATGTCAAGTAGTTTTTTGTGTTGATTAGTCTATGCAATAACATTAGGCGGTAATGAGACAAGCCTCTGATCTGAATATCCAAGTTCAAGGACCTCCTTAGGAGGTTGCAATGGGCTGTCTGTGTGTGCGTGTGATGATTACTTGCCACTTCCATTTTTCTCCAACCCCTTGTAGAACACTCTTCATATAAAAGATGAATTCATAATTCTCTTGTTCTTTCTAGGTGGTCAATTGTACTCCCCTTGAGTTGGGTCAAGGCCTTCTGGATTCCTCTTATTTCCAAGGGGGCTCATGCAGTAGGTTTGAGGGAGAAGCACTGGATTGCAAACAATGTAAGTTCTGAAGCATGAAATATGTGATCTACTATGGTTGGTTGTTAAAAGTAGCATACAATTCTCATTTGGCAGGCTTACCTGCCCTACTTTCCATGGGATTATCCTGATTGCAATGCGTATACATCCCTTATGGCAATCGAAGCTGCTGCTTCTCATTCAAAAGCAGATCGCCGTCCTCCTGCAGTCAGAGCTCTAAAAGTTCCCATTCCACCACCATGGAGTACTATTTGCTCTTTTGACAAAGCATTTACTGCTGGGGTAAATACTCTGATCTCCAGTGAAAGAAGCACAAGCAACAGCAGTTCTCCATCAAACTTGACAAATAGTAGCTCAGGCGTGACATCATCCAGACTCCGAGATCATATGTGTGGTTTTAGGGGTTCTGTAGTCAGGACAAACAAGGAGCTGACCTGCTTCCTTGAAGATAACTATGGTGGTCATTCATTTTTATTTCCTTACAATATGGTGAGAGATAGGAGTTTCTTGAAGGCTTTGAAGGACCAGAGCAATGTTGGCGGATTGGCAAATGGGATCTCTCGAGTCATGGCTCGTCATGACTTATGTTTCCTAAGGGTGATACTGCATGCTTTAAAGGAAGGTTTCTTCGAAGAAGGAGCAATTGTATGTGCACCTCATTTCACTGATATATCATCAAGGGATTTGAGGTCATTACTTTTCTCAATATTATTTTATCATGATATGATGTTCTTTTAGCTTTTCTAGAATTTTCTATCATCATTATTTGCTGTATCCATTCTGGTTATTATAATTTCCCGATTATTCTTGGGCCATGTTACCTATACGCTTTTAAAGAATATAAAATAGGAGTATATGATGTATGCACCAGTCCAGTTTGGTGGGTTTGGGAAAATTTTGAAATGCAGTTTTGAATTTCAAAGTCTTTTGATTGAAAATTTTGGTTTCTGACCCCAAAACCTGCCTTTCACGCCCACAGTCCAAAGCAGCCACCTGCTTTCACTAAATCACTTTGAGAAGCCAAAGCTGCTTTCTGCAATTTTCAAAAACAAACCCGTAGAGGGTTTAATTTTTTTTTCCCGACTGATGAGGGAGTAAGTGAAGGTGTTAACTTTGCAAGATTAACAGAAGCATTTCTTTTTTATCATCATATCTCAATCCAGCTTTGGACTTACTTTTTTGGCTTTGTACTGTTCTGGCTTGTTCATCTGAGATAAGCCTCCGCTTGCCGTGCCATTAATTTGCCTTCTCGGATCTGTCCTTTAGGATCTCTCTCTCTCTCTCTCTCTCTCTCTCTCTCTCTCTCTCTCTCTCTCATATTCTTCAGATTTGTATGCTGCACTTGATGTAGGCTAGAAAACAATGAAATTGGTCTACAAATGCCACAATCAGCTGCAGCATCATACTTCAAAGAGGTTCGTCCTGGGGAATGGGAAATCCAAGTGCCAGAGGACCCAATTGCTAGGGAGAGTCACCGTTGGCCTATTGGATTTGTCACAACGGGATTCGTTCGGGGCAGGTTGGAGAACATCCATTCCTGAACATCTATTCTTGATTTAATGCATAAAAATATTTCTGCGTATATGATGCACACATGGTTCCAAACTGTTGTGATACTGCATGCAATAATAGTTTTTATTTCTTATTCAGCGAGAAGCCAACAGCAGAAGCTTTTTGTGAGGTAAACTATCTAGCACATCTTAGAGAGGAGCAGTGGACCGAGATGTCCGTGGAACGGAGGAAAAAGGAGATATATGTTTTAGTCAGGAATATGAGGTCTTCAGCATATAGACTTGCTCTAGCCACTATCGTACTGGAACAGCAGGAAGATGATTTGGAATTCATGTAAGATGGTTGTCTCCTGTTTATACCTGATGACACTGGATGAGCTGGTAAGTGCAGGACAATTTTGAGTTCGCATTTAGTATATTATGCAGCATTGGTCTATGGGTTTTTGGAGTCTATTTGTTCCGAGGACAAGGAGCTAGTGATAGATACAAAAGCCTGGTTCTTTTGAGTTTCTCAGATACCTGCTTCTCCTGAGGTTGTCACAAAATTTCAATGAGGTGTCAAAGCTGAAGGATAATTTAGAAGTGAGGAGAAAGCAGCAACGGTTTTGTTAGACTGTCTCTCTCTAGTTTTTTTTGGGTCTAACTCTTTTTTAAATGACTTATGAGTTATGACTGTGGAGTCATGGAAGAGGCAAAGAAAATGTAAATAATATGAGGTTTTATTGAAGAGTGCCAAGAGAGCATCATCGGTACAGCTCCAGTGTCCAGAGGATTGTAAACCCCAGTTCAAGCTCTCATGTATTGCCTCCATCATTAGTTGATTAGGTTGTACTCTTAGTAAACAAATCTGGACACCACCATAACATGCTTTACAATGCCTAGTGCAACTAGCCAAGCCTTATGGTCGCCATTCCTAGATCAAAGACGAGTTTTATTGGAGTCCACAGCCGACTATATTTAGCAGACAATGTGGTTGATCTGAGCTCAATAGTCTGGTTGAGTGAGAGACATGGATGTAGTGTCACTATTTTAGTCAAAACTAACAAGTTGGTAGATAAAATTTTACTCTTGCCAGAGTCAGTTTTTTTATAAGTTTGTTCCAGAAAAAGAAAAGACCCAACGTAATCATATAACGATGTGCCACTTGTTATTACCATGATTAGTATTATGAATTTTGTTGAATTATACATTTCTTGGATCTAAAAATCACAGGACTATCGATTGATTTCCAATGGTTGTTGCTAAAACTGTTTGTCATTTCATGTCGTGTTGTTTCCATCTGTCCGCTGATTCAAACTACAACCCTATATGAGCACCACCAATATCTCCTGGTGCCATGTTAAGCGCATCTCTCCTCGGGCTGCACTCGTCGTGTTGTCGCCAGATATTCCGCCTCGCTATGGCCACTTTGTAACTTCTTGTCATCCCCCTACAGGTTCATGCTTGTCCGAGTCATCAATGAAGCGAAGCAGTTTGGTGCCTCTCAGTGCCGGTGTGGCAGATGTCGCCCCAAATCAGTACAGTTCCAGCCACATCAGCTGAGCCACCGCTTTCACGGAATGTCTCTCAGGTACAGTCTATGCGCGATGCATTCCCTCTGCTATTAGGGAATTGGGTCTCTCAAAGGTGGCTTGATAAATAATTTGGAAGGATTCAAGCATACTTGTTAATTGCTTGATAACACTATGGCATCTAACTTTTGCTTAAACAAAATAAATTGGCAAAAAACTGGTCTTCTTTGCCTTTTCTTCTGCTATTCATACCTATATAATTGTGAGCTAATTGACATTATCAGGTTCGTTCACCTGTCTTTGCGACAGATTGTTGCCAGCCCGACATGGTGTTGAAATGAGGCAGCGAAGGTTGCCATTTGTGATCTGCTGCTGCTAAATGTCCCTCAAAATCCCAATTGGAATGTTTTTTCTCCAAGAACTCGCTTCTCAACTGGGTTTGCAAGTTTCTGAAGTCAAGTCAACAAATTTCTATGTACTCAGCTGATCGAGATTAATTATCTCATTTGATGTTATGCTGCAAACCGGACTTGGTTTACAGCTAGTGTGCATCTGCGACCCTCTCTTCATATAGGGTCCATCAGAGGCCTTCGCTGGTTGGCAAGTACGAGCATGTCAACTTCGCTCAATCTAAGGCCCCTGCACCTTCTAAAGGTAAACCTAGCGCTTTGGGCATCTGTTCTCATGTTTATATGAAGCACACGTACTTTCCATTTGTCTGTTAAAAGACGTACATGTTGGACACGCTTCAGCTCTCTGTTCGGAGAATCATGGGGGTTTTATGATCGCCATATACGGGCTAGGCTTACAAAGAGATTATGGAGAGGAAAAAGAAAATCTAAAACGAGTACTTGACTGTACTCACCCTTGAGAAGTTCAAGAACCATTCTGTTTAGCAATCTTGTAAATTTGCCTAAGTATGCGAAAAAGGTGCTGCTTCTGCAGTTATTGGACTAACTTTATTTGGTACCTTATAGAAGGTCAATAGACGTGTCTGATCTATACTCATGGAGTTGACTCTCTTTCAATAGTGGGAACTCATGCCTCAGTTTTCGACGGTTCACTTCTGTTTGAAGGATGTTAGTTTTTAATAAATCTATACGAACCTCATTAGCCAAACTGATCATAGATGGTGTCCTAGTTACTCTATGAAGTTCGAGAGCACGCAATCTTATAATCCGTCAAGCGAGCAATAAACACAAATATATCTAGAGGAAGCAATGCCCGAAAAAATAAATATATTTGCCTCCAAATTTCTTTTTTTTAAGGGTAAAATGATGACTTTGAGGGCCAAATACTTGACTCGGAATGTGTTACGTTGTAGCGCTCACTCTTTATGTATTTCTAGATCCACTGATTCAAGTGGGACGGTTTTTGCTTTTCATATAACATGTAAATTCGGCTCCGTCTTTTTCGCAAATGTCTCTTAGAAAAATAAGTCAAAGCATAATGTTTTCATTATCAACAAAGATGTTTGGAATAAAATATTATAGATAATGAATTTTTTTTTTCCATTTTGACTCATTCCCCTAAGCTATACCTTTGGGTCACGATTAGGAAAACCTTTTTCGTATTCATGATTTTTTGGTCGATAATTAATGAAGAATGCACGAATCTAAGATTGAACAACGATGTGATGATCCGGGCTTGTTGAGTTCGCGGGCTCTTTCTACTGACGTTTGCTAATGTCCACTCAATGATGGAACAATCCGAATTGAGCTTTGTCGGACAATTAAGGATCGAGATTCTTTAACTAAGCGAATGATATTTCCTTTTTATCCCCCAAAAATAGTAGCTAGGAGACTTAGATTTGACGCTCGAGTTATTCAGTTAAGTAGAATTTGAAGGATCGACTGATCACCAAACGATGGATATGAATGTAACGAATCACGTATACGTCTCCAACTTAGAGCAATTTTTAGAGAAACTCTTTTTGTCATGAAGGTGAAGTTTACCCGATACACATCAACGGGATGGGAATGCTTAAATGTATTATGGAGATATTCAAGAAAAAAAAGATGAAATACTCATATTAGCATCTAATGTGTGATGCACTTTTCCTCTCTTCTTTGCCCTTTTTGTCAGCTACTCCTGTTTGATCGTTGGAAGTACATGCAATGAAACGGCCGTAAGATCTTCAATCTTAAGTGGGTCATTAAAGTGATGGAATGTTAATTGATGAATGGCCAAGACGCTTATGATTTATAACAATTTTTATAGAGAAAATTATCTAAAAAATCCCGAACCTATTGTATGACGGCCAATTCAACCCTAAACTTTTTAATTTGACCAATTTTGTCCTAAAATTTTTGACAATTTGCCAATGAAAGCATTCTGGCCAATTTCGATCAGAAATCACTGATATAGACCCCGGCCATCCTAATATGGTTGACAGGTGCCGACATCGACAATATTTTCAATTTTTTATATATTTTGAATTTTTCCTTTCCTTTTACTTCCCTTTCCTTCTTTCTTTTTATCCTATTTCCTTCCTCTGGTCGCCGAGGCCTCGGGGATGGCCGAGGGAGGTTCTTGGCCACAACGAGGGTTTGCAAGCCCTCGCGCAGATCTGGCGAGAGCTAGTGAGGGCGCCGAGGCTCCAGCAACCAGTGGAAGGAAAGAATTTTTTTTTAAAAAAAAATTGCAAAAGTGTCTACGTCAGCAATTTCCTGTGAAAATTAACCAGAATGACTTTATTGACAAATCGTTAAAAGGTTTAAGACTAAATTGGTCAAATTGAAAAATTTAAGACCAAATTGGCCACTATACAATAGGTTTATGAGTTTTTGGACACTTTTCCCGATTTTTACTTGCCCTTTTGCTTGTGTTAATCAAGAAAATGGATAGGGTTAAATGAAAAGAACAAAAAAAAATGAATACAATGTAGATGGGGCAATAATTCGGCTTTGATTCGGGTAACTTTTATATGGTAATTACATTTCATAAATTTATTAATCTGGGAATACCTATAGTAACTTAAATCGGGATAGTTATGCTATAAAAAGATTGTGTTCTATTTTCAAGATGTTATCAAGCACAATAAATTTGAAGATAAATCACGATTTCGATTCCTTCAATTTTGTTCCTATTGTCTTCAGCTTGTCAGCCACACGAGAGTTTTGATTTTGCTTCATTTTGGATATAAGTTGCAATTACGTCCTTCTCATTGAAAGTACATTGTTTGTGACAAAGACTTTTATTTCGAAATAGTTTTTTTTTATTGCTAAAACTAATCCTCAAAATAGATTTCTCCCTAACAATATACCAAAACACACTTCTCGTCATAGTCATCCCCCTCTTTATCCGAATCACTTTTTACATATCTATTTCTTAAATAGCGAATTAATATCGAGCGGTTAAATGTGCAAAAATCATGCTCCGATTTTAATTATTTATGATAAGTTGATTTGAGAAGAAAGTACGCAAAGTCTTCGAAACTGATTTTTTAAATAATTTAATAGAGAGAGGGAGGTCAAGATGATTAAGATTAAGCGTGTGATGATTAGGCAATGTCTGCCCAAGTGATGTGACATCGAGAAGTCCGTTTTAACGTATGGTTTTATGGAAATTATGCATATTGGGTAATTATTAATTTTCGAAAGAGATAGCAGTCTCCAAAGAGGGATGTGGCGATGAGAAGTCTATTTTGACTTATGATTTGGGGAGAGATCTATTTTGGGAACCATATTCCAAAAGAGATCTAATTTGGGGGAAAAGTCCCTGGCAACACTTCTAATTTTATTACAAAAATGGATTTTTATTAGGTCCATTTTCGGCGTAAAATATGAGCTACACATTCATTATTGGGTCATTAACATAAAGCACAATCCGGATAGAAAACTAACTATAAATATATAGGATTAATACCACAAAAAACCTCAAACTGATACACCCGTGACAAATTTACTCCAAGCTAATTTTTTGACCATAAAAAATCCTAAACTGGTACACTTGTGACAAATTTACTCTTCGTTAGTTTCCGTTAAATTGCCGAATTGGATGACAAGTGGCAATTGACGATTATACTAGTTTGGAGTTTTATCCCCCGTTTATCACAGGTGTATCAGTCTGTGATTTTTCATGGTATTAATCCAATTTAACGAAAATTAACGGAGGATAAATTTATTACAAATGTACTAATTTTGGTATTTTGGTACATTTGTCACAATGTATTTATCATAAATATATTAATTTGGAGTTTTTGGTGTTAGTCATTCATTAAATATATTAATTTGGAGTTTTTGGTATATATATATATATATATATCATTCATTTAATAGTGAACGCGTAAGGATTTTTCTGAGGACCGAGTAATAATCTAAAAAGTAAAATTGACTTTTGGCCCTTTCATATCTCTCCTTATCTCCACGAGCCATCAAAGTCGGTGCGATTCAATTGTCACATCATCAACTTAACGGAATACATCAGTGATTGACTAACACAGGCTAGGTTGGAAGTACCTCATTTGAGTATGGATATATATTGACTTTGGTAAATTAAAGATTATTCTAAATTTGACCAAAGCACCACAGGTTTTAAGTACTTTTTTTTTTTTTATAAAGTTCACTTTAGAACTAATTCCTAGTAAGCTTGATAAAGTATCCATCAGATACCGCCCTAGTCCACTGGTCGAGGGTCAAAACTCAATCTGCAAAATCGAAGGTCATGGGTTTGATTTTCCCGTCCTTCTATTCGTAGCTTGGAAAATCTCGTTGGTCCACAATGGACAAGTCTGGGCTTCGGCGTATCGCCTGTCTTGGAATTCTCGATAGCACCTGGTGGAGCTACGGTGATGAGCTCGCCTGACGGGCGACTACGCTCCATTACCATCTTAAACCAAACATTTCAGTGGCAAGTCCACCAGATCTCAAGCCTTCTTTCTCTCTCAGTTCTAGTCAATGAAGAAGTGAAAACTGAGCATTATCCCGCCTGTTAAATAAATTTCATGTTATTGACAAAAAATAATTAGATTTTATGTCCAGAGCTTTGTTTGTTGATCGAGGTGAGGTTATATATGTCAATGCAATTAAAAAAGGGTGTGGCAATAGTGACTTTGGTTAATTTGATAGGGGATTCTCACGTTCTCACAAACAACTAAGCCCATACGTATGACAACTGTTCATTAATGGACTCCCCCACAACTCATGATGCCTTGGACAAGAATAATAATGAGCACTACAACTACGAATCTAGAAAGTTGGTTGCAGATTACGAAAACGAAGTAACGAAAAGTATATTCATCTTTCACGAAAATATTTAGATAAAAGTCGTTGTCGATAATAAAGATATTTTTTATTGATTAATTATTTTGAGCGATGCAAGCGATCGCTTTTTGAAAAATATTTTCGATACTATTTTAATTTCCTGGAACAAATAGAGCCCGCAAGTGATGGCGTGTTTGGATCGAATTGAAGGGCAAAAAGAAAGGGAGGAGAGAGGAAAAGATTTAAGAGAAATTAGTGCAACCAGCTTTGTGCAGCTTTTAAAGTCCACCCAATAGTCCATCTAAAAATGGAGGGATTCGTGCAAGTAACCAAAAAAAAAAATATTTAAAAAAATGAGAGCACTTTGAATTTTTATTTAGAATTTTCCATTCTTTTTATGCCGCAAATTCCTTTATTTTGTCTAGAGATTTAATAACATAAATAAAGTAGGTTTTATTCGCTTTGTCTCTCCATTTTTTCATTTCTTTTCCCCTTTTATCTCCTTTCTTTTCATTTTCCATATAATCATTCAAATCTCTTCTTTAACTTCAATTCATCACTTATTGCCAAACCGATGCAACCAAACTCCCCCGCGACCGAGCATAGAATGGCAAACCGCACGAAGCACGCACTCAAGTCTCGGGTTTAACTCTTTAATGAATAAGGACATTCTAAGTAGTAACCGAGCCAAAGAAAGAAAGGAAGTCGGGGTGGGTCGCAGCCGAACTTCGCCGCTTCCTTCGGCACGAACACGATCGACGGGAACCGAGGCTTCCAGACCACGGATGACCCGTACGGCCTTTATAGATCGCGGGATGAGGCATCCCGTAACGCGGTTATGGCGATCCTCAC